CACTAAGAACCAAAAAACAGGCTTCCTCTCCAAAACCTGGCACATAACCACCAAAAGCATGTTCGCCGGCACCTGCCTCGGCACCATTTGCCTAGTGGTGTGTCTGGAGTTCCTGCGTCGCGTCGCGCGAGAGTACGATGCTTTCCTCATCCGGCGGGCCCGTCTGCGGTATCAGTTTCTGGCGAATCTTGATCTCCCCTCCGAGGGCGAGATGCACACAGCGCCGCCGTCGGCTTCGGCTTCGACTTCGACTTCTCGGTGTAAGGATGCTGCTGCTGCCACAGTAGGAACAGCAGCAGCTACTCCAGCGGGCGCAGCACCACCACCCTACCGCCCAACCCTACCCGAGCAACTCGTCCGAGCAACCCTGCACATGCTGCAGTTCGCCGTGGCGTACTTCGTGATGTTGCTGGCGATGTACTTCAACGGGTATATCATCATCTGTATCATCGTGGGGGCGTTTTTGGGGGCGTTGGTGTTTTCGTGGGAGGTGATGGGGTCTGGGGATGGGGTGGGGTATGTTTCTTCGTCATATCCTTCTCTCGTTCTTTGCTTGTGGTGCTCGGGTCTCTGATTGGAAGGGGGAAAGGGGAAAGGGGAAAGAAGGCTTTGGCTGACTTGATAATCTGTCCCAGGAACGATGCTACGGCCGTGACGAAGTGCTGTGGTTAGAAGATACCGGGCATCAGTTGTTGCGGGGTGGGTCTCGGTGTACTGGAGATGATCGGGGTTGAGACGGTCTGCGATGCAGATACATTAACTTACCCGCATTCAACACTACGAGGTCAAGAGAGACGAGAATGAGGTGTTACCCAGGACCAAGGAACGGAGGAGGAGCTGGATTCAGTATTGCTGGGTCCGGAAATAGCCTGCCATAATTACTACTACTACTACTACTACTACTACTACTATCACATCCACAGCATAGATCTCCACTACCGTCAATCCATGTACACCGTCGAGTAGAGTAAGTAGTAGGATAACAAAGACAACAGAATAACCCGATTGTCTAGTACCCTACACCACTACACTACAATTAGAGCCCAAACCGTCCCCGTCAAAGACAGCATAGAACCCCCTCAAGGCAGGTAACCAAGTTAAGGTACATTGTGCAAGCAATTGTGCTCAAACAAACGACCCCCAACCCAACCCTACAACCTCCATCCAAGCCCCATAAAAAGAATCCGATACAATCTAAAAGCCATTCAGAACCAACTAACCAACAAACTAAACCAAACCCTAAGTACACTCACAACTTCTACCGCCAGACATCGCACCCTACAGGATAGATCTAACTGCATCCAACACCTCTACAACTCAACGACTGAAAGACACTAGAGCTACCGCTGAACACCACATCAACCGAAATGCTATAGCACAGGACATACTAATCTTCTGGAAAGCAAGGCCAAAAATGCAGCCGGCCTTGCAGATACACATGCAGATACACCTGCAGTTGCAGTTGCAGGGTCACTCAAAATGTCATGTTCATGCTGTGTTCAATTGTCGGAACCAGACGGCAATGGCGCCTCCGGCCGGGAACGTACTCACTAAGTCAAAAAATTACCCCGCTATCCCAAGCGGGGTCAACTCGGATCTTACTCTAACTTGAAAGTTTGCCACTCGACCGAAATGTCCAGGTTGGTACGCCCTTCTCTCTCAACCCGCGGTTCTGACTTCATTATGGCGTAACGCAAGGATTCGATTTCTACTGCTCAATGACTGCAATGACGATTCGCATTGGGACTGCATTCTAGTATGTTTTTTGCACGCAGCAAATAGTCGAGTCGTTGTCTTACAACTACGAGCATTGACAACCAAGAGGGAACATATGCAGAGTTCAATATGGACACTCTAGATTACAGCGTACCAGATAGGAAAAGTGGGAAGCAAGTAGATGAGAGAGAAAAAAAAGAAAGAAAGAGTCCTATTGGTCCACCTTGCTCATTCTTCTTTTCCCCACTCCGTATCACATATTTTTGGCTCGTTAAATGGCTAAAAATTGCTTACAACTCACCGCTGTTGATGATCGTGGGCTTGACGGCGGAGCGGACAGCACCAGAGCTGCTGCCGATGGCCTCGAGCTCCTTGACGACCTGCATGGACTCGGCGTCAGCAACCTCGCCGAAGACGACGTGCTTGCCATCGAGCCAAGAGGTGACAACGGTGGTGATGAAGAACTGGGAGCCGTTGCTATTGATTTGGAGGTTAGCGGATGCTGCTCCCTCTGTTGCAACAAAAGAACTTACGTGTGGGGACCAGCGTTGGCCATGGAGAGGAGACCGGGGCGGTTGTGCTTGTAGATGAAGTTCTCATCGGCGAACTTCTCGCCGTAGATGGAGCGACCACCAGTACCCTGGATGATGAATGAGTTAGTCGGCTTGCTTGTTGCTCCTCAACCAGGGCCAGTTGAAGAACCAGTGAGACACTTACGTTGTGGCGGGTGAAGTCACCACCCTGGAGCATGAACTGGGGGATGATACGGTGGAAGGTAGAGCCCTTGTAGCCCTCACCCTTGGGACGCGTGCAGAGCTCACGGAAGTTGCGAGCGGTCTTGGGGACGTCCTTCTCGTAGAGGTTGAAGTTGATGCGGCCAACCTTGGCTGGGGAGTCGGAGAGAAGAAAAATCATGTCAGTCAAGAGATTCCTTTGCCATTGGAAGACTCTATTCAGAGAAAGAGGGGAGAGGTGAAGCATGTCCTAGCCTCCTCTCACCCCGTCATCGAATCCCAAAGAGGGGTAAGAAAAGGCTGCTCCTCTGCCTCTGCCTCTCCCTCCCTCTCTCTCTCCAGGCAACAGCAGCAGGAGCTGGAGCTGGAGCTGGAGAGGCAAAAATCGGAAAAAAAAAACGAGAATCAAAATCAAAACTTACGGGCGCTGGAGCCCACAGGGGCGTACTCGACTTCGAAGAAGGCCTTGGTGTTTCCAGACATGGCTGCGGATGTTTGATGGAAAGAACGAAGAGAGAGGAAAGAAGGGGAGTTGCAAACGGGGATGGAGAAGAGGGGACGAGAAGCGAAGGACGAGCAAGGTGGGGTTATTGTTGACCTCAGGCTTCGGGAGAACATTGTTGCTGGAGGGGCAGTCCGCACTAGACCGATTCAGGATCAGCTCGATGCACACTGGAAGGCTTGGTCCACCCACAGCCACCAGCTGTGCAATCTTCCCGCTTGGTCATTCGTGGAGCCTCAGGCTGCCAACCCAGGCTAACAGGGAGAGCTGGTCAGCAGCCCCCCAACCGCCGCTGTCGGACCTCTTCCATCCACTTCCATGGAGAGACGCGCGCGCCTCATCATCGAGTTCCATCCGCTGAGCAGCACTCACGACCGATTGGGATCGGGCAGAACAGGGGATGGAGTTGCACTTACAGGATATCGAGCTTACGAGATGATTAAAGATGGTGCAATGGCTGCTGGTGTGGAGAGGAAAGGGAAATCAAGCTCAAGGGGAAGATATCGGACCGGCGAAGAAAATATTCCAGCCAGCTCCCCAAAAGAGTATGGCCTCGGATTAAGTAATACCACCTCAGCTCAGCTCAGCTCAACTCAGGCCGGCCGGGTTCCAGCCACCCAACATTCTCGCCTCTCGCCCCGGAATCCCTCGGGAGACACAGCAGCCACGTGATCAGCCCCCTCGACTACAGTTTACACTACAGCAGTACTGACTTGTGATACCATCGTTATTGACAAGATATCTGCAATATTCTGGACAAGATTATGCAAATCTAGAAAAACATAATTCAAACAGAAGATTTGAAAGACTGACCGCTGCATCAACAACTGATCAGCCGTTCCTGTGCATATCAAATCACAGGTAGACCACAACAGGGCCATAGAAGATTAAAGAAAAGGTCACATCGCTAATAGAGGAAAGTGTACATGGAACGATGATAAGAAGAACAGCGAAAAAGGGGTAGGGTCCGAAGGGCAAGAGGTCTCCCACCCAACACCGAGAACGAAAGTAAAAGAAGTCATAAAAGCTCCTCCAGGTATCAACGTCTCATTCCGCATGGTTACTCATTGTCATGCACAATATATGCAGAAAGATACCGCCATGGTCAGCAGTTAAAGGATCATCATCGCTTGCGTGATGGCAAACAGACGATCAAGAAAAGTCGGGAAAATATGTAGGAGAAGTGAAGAAATAAGGTACAACATGCCTTGCCATAGACATGAATATAAAGTGGCGGGTAGAAAACATGGAACATTGAACAACAGCGATATTCGAAGTCATGCCGAGCTCATTGGATCGGCCGTATTACCGGAAGTCATCTTCCTCGTCGTCCAGTCCATGAGGGTCTAGCTGATGAACAAGCTCTTTGGTCTCCCGAGCGATCTCAAAGGCAATGGGCGGAAGTTTGTTGGTGATGGCGCGGAGCTCGGCGAAATCAAAGACCCCCTCACCCTCGGCGGCGGTGCCTGTCAGCCGGTCCCGGTGCTGTTCCAAGGTCTGGATGATGGACCCGGCACGTTGACGCAGAGTGGAACTGACTTCAGGACCACTGATGTAGTGCTGCGTGGAGGAGTTTACCTGGGACACCACGGAAGAAATGGCAGAGATATGGGTGCTAATGGTGTTGAGGCCTTGTTCAGAGCGAATGCTAGCAACAAGAGCCTGGATCGACTGAACGAGTCCGTCCGTTTGATCCTCGAGGTAGTACTATATTCCAAGTTAGAATCCGCTTACAGGGGCGCCAAAAAGAGTGGATGCACCCACTTTGAGTTCATGGAGCTCGTGGTCCACAGACTTCACGGGATACATTGTATGCATTCCTGCATTCATACCGGGCGAGGCAACTTCGTGCTCAGCAGGAGCGCTCATGGCACTGTAAACGGAATCGTTGCGGCTGAGCCGACCCTGGCTGGGCGCCACACTGAAATAGTCGGGGGACTTCATCTGGGCGACTTGCGCTTCGTCGTTCTCGTCATCGTTCAATTCGTCTGCCGGAGTAGGCCGAATCTTCACGATGCGGATCAGCCCAATAACTGCAGATGACAAATGCGAAGCTGCAGCATCCAGGAGAGAAAGCGGGGAGAGTCCACCGGAGCTGGCGAAATTCTTGGTCGCAGTAATCATGTTGTTTGCAGTGGCAGATACTTTGCGGGTGGCCTTGGCACTCAGCGCGGAGAGCTCCTCGTTGCTCTCTTTGCGCAACTCCACATCGTGAAGGACGTGGCGCACGGCAACAACAACCGCTTTGATCTGCTGCATGACCAGCTGAGGGTCATCCTCCCGCGCTATGCGCAGCAGTTCGTCGATGGAAATCTGGAATTTGGTCACATGCACATCCATGACGAGGCCCGTCTTCTGGATAAATTCGTTGTCCTTCACGATGCTCGCGGCATCTGCGCGCAATTCCGACATGCCGATGGATGAGGTGCGCTGTCGAAGTTGAGTCTTCGCTTTGGCGTACCGTGCCTTCCATTGTTTTACCTCCTCTTCCAGTCGATGGACCTCCGTCGTAAGCCGCTCTTCCTGCTCCCACTTGGTATGGCTCTGTTCCGATAAGGCCCTCATCTCCACGAGGAACCCTGCTGCCTCCCGCCTGACTTCTTCGGTCACCCTTTGTTGCTCTTGCAGCTCCGTCTGCAAGCTTTGGTGCTTGATTTCAAGGTTACTGAATTTGGCCTGCAACTCAGCATCACCCGTGCTCTGCCGCGAAACCTGATCGATCTGACTGCGCAATTCCATCTCAATATCCTGCTGTTCAGTCCGGACCTTCTCGAGTTCTTGCTGAAGGGAGTGGTTCAGGTCTTCGGCCTGCGTTATTTTGCTCTCCAGGTCCGACTTGATGTCCTCCCACTCTTGGCGTTCTGCGACACTGATCTGTTCCACCTGGTTAGCTAGAGTGCATTTTGACCGCGGCGAGCCAACATACCTGTGATTTGTCTTGTTCTTCCTGATATCTTGAAAGCTCCTCGTCTTTCGTTTTGACCAACTCTTCCAGCATGCCCAATTTGCTCTGGTCTTCCTCGTAATTTGAAAGCTCCTGATCCCTCAATTTGAGCAGCTCCTCTAACTTTGTCACCTTCTCTTGGAGGAAAGACACCTGCGACTGGGTCTCGGCCAGCATTTTGCGGTCACCATCTCCTAAAGTTGTCCCGGTCCCTCTCCTACTGTTGAGAACCACATCCAGGGCAAACGCATCGCTGCGCGCATCGTAGTCGTCTTCCGTACCCGCCGCGTCGTCATCATCCTCCACCATGGTACTTTTATTGGGAACAATTGTGTTGCTCTGGAACGACTTCGCCGTGGGGCCATCTCCGTTCATGCTAGGCGGTGGGCCTCCTAAGGAACCCTGGCGTGGGGGGTAACGCATCGGACTCGGAGGCGGCATCGCTCCCGGCGGATACCGTGGGGGTCCCCGGTTCTGTGAATTGCGGCCCCCGGGGCCCGGCGGAGGAAACCCATTAGGCGGAAAGCCGGTGGGAGTGGGAGGAGGGCGTCCGCGAAAGCTCGGGGCGGGACTGACGGCGCGACTGGTATCTCGGGCTGGGAACTGCGGAAACCGACGCTCGAGTTCCGTGTACACATCCGTCGCAAGATCTCTGAACCGTTGGTGTTGTAGCGAAGCCAGCTTCTTCCGTGCCTGATTGCGCTTCTCGTGGAACTCCTTTCGCGGGGTGAGGAACGGGGGGATATCGGGACGAGGGGGCCGGGACGGCGATGGCATTGCCTGCTGTCGTCGGAGTAGTTCATCGTAGACGTCCGTACTGAGCTCGTGGAACTGGGTGGGCGAGAGTCGCAACAGCTTGTCGCGAGCTTTGTTCGATTTGCTATTTAGGCGATCTTCCCGATACGGGCCTTGGAGAAACCGGCGCAGAGCGACGTAGTGTTGGCCCAGGACTTCCTCCAGCCGCTTCTGCCGCTTGGTGCGGTCGGGCAAGGTCCCATCGCTCGATCGCGCGGCCACGGAGCTCGGCGGAGACGGGTTGCCAGCATCGCTCAGCGGGCCCGAGGAGCCATTTGGGATCCCCTCCACCGTCGACGAGCCACTGGGGACGCCTGATGTTGGCGGTGTCGCGAGATTGCTGCGTGTCGAAAAAGTCGGGGAAAAGGGCGGGTCGGTTTTATTGTATTGGTTGATCCCGGACCAGTCACTCCCATCCACAGAGACAGGTGACATGGTCCCTGAGTAACCGTTCATAGGTCAAAGTGATTTTGGTCACTGAGCGGCTCGAGAAGACCGGGGGTGCAACTATGCATGCGAGGATGTGCGACGGGCGGAACTGCGGCACCCGGGCCATCGACCAGGCTCGATGGAGGGTTTGGCAGAGGAGTGGAGTTGTAAGATGAGATCGCTTGTTGTAAATGTCGGCCAGACTCAAAAGAAAGAGCTTGACGCAAAGGCCAGTTCTGTGACTCTGGAGGGGGTGGTAAGAAGAAGAGTTCAGCAGCGACAATAGGAGACACAGTAAAGGCGAGCCGGTACGGGGGGAAGTAGTTTCTCGGCCAAGTCGGCACGGGCACCAATAATAGAGAAGAGACGACCAGCAAAGATGAAGTAAACAATGAGAACAGGAAAGGTCGGATTAGGATCAGATTAAAGCCGGGCAAATTAAGCCACCGGGGAAAAAGTCGCAGCCACCAGGAGGAACCTTGGAAAACAGCCTCAAGGAGAAATAGTCCATGGGTGGAGGAGGAGGAGGAGGAAGAAGAGTGGTAAGAGTGAAATTAGCAGTGTTGAGCCACCGAAAGAAAGAAAGTGGACTGAACTGTGGACTGAACTTAGTCTAGCCGGAAGATTAATGACTGCGGCAAAGCAAAAGAAGCACCAGCCCAGCCGCAGGTGTTTTTACGAATACGGAGGATACTCAATAGGTACGGAGTACGGAGTAAGGTACCACAAAAAGGGGTATCGTATGGTTCAGTCCGTTCAGTCCACAATGTCTGCCTAGTAAGTTAGTTCTTGAGCTGTGCACTCTTACCGGTACTTCAGTAGCAGTCCGATCTCAGTTCCGACCACTCCAACGTTGTGGCAGGCACAGACTCTTTTCCTTTCTCTCTCTTTCTCAATCCCTCCTTTGCTAGTTGAGCAGTCAGAAATGATGCGGAGTAGCTGCTCGACTGTCTCAGATTGACCCCAGATAGACCAGATAGACCAGATAGACACCCGCCAGACTGATAAGAGCCCCGATCGTCCATTTACTACTGGTCCTCCTCTCTCTATAAGTGTGGTGCAGTACAGTCTGAGTACTGTACTTCGAACGCGGCGTCAACACTCCAGTCACATCCTCCTCGACTAAAAATAAATGCTTCATCATCCCAGCTAATGCAGGTACGAAACTACGAATACACCGTAGTGCGTCCATCCAGACTCCAGGGATTCATGATTTCCTTCTTACCATGAAATACCAATATACGATACGATGACTGGACCGACACATTGAACTCCACTCCTCCGCCCGGAACTGATCGATCGGTTCCAAACTGACGCACACCGTGTGGCGGTGGCTGCTGGTGCTGCTGGTGCTGCTGGTGCTGCTGCTCCCAGCACCTGCCGAACAGCCACTGCATAATTCAAGGCACACACCCATCCAGTAGGTAACTTATACATTCACCCACCCATCAACCCCTTAGACTCTACGAAAACAAAACAAGCATTTCCTGCCCCCTTCTCCCTCCCCATCAATGCCAAAACCCACCCTCTTGAGGCTGGTATCCCTCTCCCTCCAGGGATGACCAGTGACAAGCCCAGTGTCGATAAAATGGAAAAAAAAAAAAAAAAAAAACTGGCCAGCCCCCAACATGCGCTTCACTCCAAGCCCCCAAGGGGGGGGAGAAAGGACAAGCACCACTTTTGCAACCGGCTCTCCACCCGCCCATCCATCCATCTGGTCGAGACTTTTCGCTGCTAAGTTAGTTCAGGAGGTAACTTAGTTACGACTAACTTTCGTTGTTGGCCGCTGCCGAGATTGCGAGTCCCGCGCACGTTCGAATTCGTTTGGGGTCCAGAACCCAGAACCCAGAGCCCAGAGCCCAATGCCCCTTCAGAGCTTGGATCGGCTTATCCTAGGCCTGTGTTTTTTTTTTCCTGTCTGTCTTCTTTGTGGTCGTATGGGTAAGGATAGCAAAACCTGTTCATGCGACGAAGAAAAAGAAGAAAAAGAAGACAGTGGATTTAAGTCCACCTTATAGTCAGTAAGTTTGAGCTATTGCTTGGGATCTTGGATTGCGATTGGTGTACTGTTTCTGAGTTATTATTGCTCACTAAGGTAAGTAAGTAAGTACCTACCTAGGCTTGAAGGTTAGCCTACGGTACTTAATTTTGTCTCTTTCTACCCCCCCCCCCCCCTAAGCTTAGGGCGTAGGCAGCATCTCAGGGGGCGGCCGCCAATTCGTAGCGTGGAGACACACCACAGTCTATGTAACTATAACCGGTGGGCACAGAAGGCTAGAAGGTTCTTCTACCTTACCTTCAACTACCTTCCGTGCAGTTTCATTGACTTCAACAGGTACTCCGTAGCACTGCAAACGGTAGGCAGCAAGAACGCATACTCCATCTCGTCGGACTCGATATCCATTCTCCTTGATTTATCCCAAGACGGTCTCCATCGGTCTTCGGCAGTCGGCTGCCGACTCGGGAGCCATGGGCGCTTTCCGGACGGCAAACAAACGTCAACCCGGTTTTCAGGCCCAAACCACGAGACCACCAACTATGTCCCAGCAACTTACTTTTCGGTATAAATGGACATTATGGATAGAGGAGGAACCCCGAAGCTGGGGAATCAACTCCAAAGTATAAGTCGGCAGTTGACCAACGCTGTCCGGAGCAAATGGCTCCTCAGAAGACTGGCTGGTCATTGTTCAACGTCTTGGACGTAGATGTGGTAAACTACACAATAATACGTTCAGCCGCCAATTTTAAAGCAGCTCCTTTCCATATCTCATCTTGCGTAAGTCTTGACATAACTTTGTTTTAGTTATGTTTGAATCGTGGGATAGTCCCCCAATATAGGCGACGGGAGTGTATGTTTTTCTTTCCACACTCTTGTCGAATTGTGGCACGATATGATTAAGGATGATCTATGAGTTCTGCAGAACATCTTGACTTGAACCCCATAGCAGCTTATTCTTGGTAGAAGAATCGTACTCTATAAATTGATTTGTGGAGTCAATGTTGTACGAAGTATGCTGGTCGTGAGGAAATCCTATACTCAAAGATGGATCTTTCATATGGGGATGGAACACCCCTGCACGCAGCTCGCATGCGAGCGATATCCGCTTGTTGATTCCATCCATATATCATGTATTGTGTACATGTAGCCCACAAAACAGGGTAAACAGCCATGTTTCCCACCCTCGACGACAAATGATGAAGATGAAAACAAAAGGCTCCGGCCCTCGCTCACAAGGACGTGGTCCAGATCATCTCAAGTGGCCATGGAAAAGGCCCTTGCTGTGGTTTGACAAGGGATTCTGGGGAGGAGGGGGGGAGGGACGAGACGAATGCCGAGGTGTCTTTTCAAAGTCTGCCATATTGAGCACAGTACACTACAGTCCAGTACTCAAGCCAGGTCCAGTTACTGTCTCTTCCAGTTCCGGTCTCGTTCCTTTCCTCCTCGGACGCCTTCGCTGTCCTCAACCATGCGGCACCGCACGCGGCAGCTCAAGATCCACCCTCCAAAGCGGATGCACCGGAACCTCAGCGCTGCAACCCTGCACCGCGGCATTCACGAACAGCGTCTGCTCCCTAGGTCTCAACGGGACTGGGTCCTCCGAGCAGTGGCTCGTTGCCATGACCGCTGGGGCCGCCTCCTCCTGCTTCCCCGGCTCCACCAGCCGGGCAAGCTTACTGACGACGGTCGATCGGCCGTAGTCGATGGCCGTGAAATGCGATGGCTCGTTCTGAGTGCCCATCCCATCAAGATCCTGATCTCGAAGATTAGTGCGGATGTCTCGCCAGTGCGCGAGCATGGCCCCCCACCCTTCGTGGATATGTCCAAAGCAATGCATCCGGGGTCTGGCGTGGGCGATGGCCTTGAACAGATCGGGGCAGCCGGCTCGTCGTCCGCGTGAATGCGTACCGCTAGTAGTATAATCCATGATGCCTCGCGGTGGGCCGTGAGTGACGACCACATCGATCTGATTGCTGCGGCCGTCGAACTGGAAATCATGACCGGTGTCCGGGTGGTACTGGAAGCCCCAGTCGCCACCGAGCGAGGGGGTGTACGAGCTGGCGTAGACGGTGAGCCGCGCGCCGTTGGCCAGGGTGAAGACGTCGATGCCTTCGTCTAGCAGGACAATCCCGCTGCGTTGCTGGAGGTCGTCGGTGAAGAGCTTGGTTCGGACTTCTTCATAGTCCCCGTAGACTTGCCGCACGAGGCGGCGGTCGTCTTCGCTGTGGTCGAGACCGCTGGCTTTGACCTTCTGTTGAAAGGTCGGGGTGTCCAGGGTGAAGTCGTGGTTGCCGGGGATGACCAGCTTGAGGGGGGCGTCCAGTTTCTGGAGGTGCTGGATCGTGGTGCGGAACTCAGTCAGATAGGAGCTGTCGGTCAGGTCGCCGCAGTGGATCACTACGTCGGCGTGGTGCTGGGAACACTCTCCGGGGAGCTCGTGGCCGTGGGTGTCGGAGAGGATGAGGAAGCGGGTTTTGATATCGGATGGGATGGAGGTTTCCATGTTGGGTGTGAAGGATAGTTCTAGAACTTGATGATTTCAGAATAGTTCTAGAGGCGATAGGAGGAAAAGGATGAAGAATGAGGAATGAAGACGAAGAATGAAGAAAAATTGAAGAGGATGTGGAAGAAGATCTGGAGTCACAAAAGTAAGTATGCCCTAATCATGTTGCAATGCACGGATCTGTATGCCAACGCTACACCACAATTGCGTACTACGGTAGATGTGTGGCCAATCAAACATGCTGATCCATATGATATATCTAACAATAACGTATACAATACTTCTATAAGAATATTCTATAAGTATAATCTGTACAAAGGAGAGAAAGTCCCCGCCGTCCTTCTATCTCGAGCTCTTATTCCCCAGCAATCGAAGAAGCCCAGCGAACTCACTGGAGTATATTATGAGCGAGGCTGGGGAGGGTCCGGGGCAGACTCGATCAGTCGATAAGAGTGCGCGTGTTGAAATCTCATACAATGATATATGACATTCTCATATAACGTTGTTGTCTCTAGCAAACTAACAGCTACGCTACAGAACCGCGAGGTTGTTTGTGATGGACGGTTGTAGACGCCTTCCTAAAGCACTGTCCTGTCCACTGCTCTTTCCTCCGTATTGCGTTTGGCTGCACTGTTCCTGTTCCTGTATACAGAGACACTGTAACTGCATCGAATCCTAGCTGCTCCTACCTCGAGAGCAGTCTGCCATTTCCCGCTCAAGCAAGCTACCCCAGGAAGCGGTCAGCAGGATACGAACCATTGTGGAGGGGAAAACAGAGAACAATGTAAAAGGCTGCTTTATGTCTTTGTGTACTGCTGGAAATCAGGTCACATGGTCCTATACATGTTGTTCGGGGCATGCGAGAAAATAGCTAAGTCGAGGATATCGAAAGTAGGATTGAGGTAAGTTTGTAGACTTCTCGTAGAGCCCAGATTCGGAAGCCTCACAAAGTGCCCGGCCGGTGTCCATCCCACACGAATGCGTTGTATCTAGTACAGCGGCAGTGGCAAGTCAGCCGAAGAAACTACTACTAGCGCGCGCCTCTACTCATCCTTTACTTTAACATGTGCGACTTAGGGCTATGAGCATGCTGGCAATGAAATCTGACGATAACAAATTTCATCACATGCATTGAACCTCCCCAGTCATGTACGTAGGAAAAAAAACAGGTGACATTCCATCATCATATTGTAACTACAGTCAGGTAGCTGTATAGGTTGTGCAATACAGGCGAATGAACTCATCATTCGCTTTTCTTCTTCTCCGTCTATCAACAGCCCTGTCTTCACAACCAGGTAAACTCCTCCCCTCAATTAGAAAAAACCGACATGAAATGTGCAGAATGCCCGGATAAACTACCAGTGCGTATGCAGGAAGTAAATGTACAGTCGTAGAATAAGCCCGTCGGCGGAAGGGGGAAATGGCCAGAACTATCCCAATTTAATCATGGGCCGAATAGCCAGAACGGTGTCGTATGCAGAAGAAGACGGGCGAGCAGGTGTCTCTGAGGAGCGCGGGAGAAAAGATTCTGCTCAGTGGCAGGAGGATTGGGGGACATGCATTCATAAGGCAACCGAGCGCATCGGACTTCACTTCGACGAGGTCATAGTGAGGCCTCGGGTAGCACCAACGGCGGCAGAAACAGGAGTGGCCGAGCGGGTCGGGGCAGCGCTACGGTTGTGCGCCATGTGCGCCCGGACAAGGTGGCCGGCAGCCAGGGCAGAGCACAAGCTCAGCTCACCAGCAAGCACAGCCGCGCCGACAATACGCGCCAGCTGGCGGGCGTTGTCGCCGGGGTTGGTCGGGTGGGAGCCACGCACGCCGAGGAGATCCAGCATGGCGGACTGTCCCTCGAGGATTGTGCCACCACCAATAGTTCCGACTTCGATGGAAGGCATCGACACAGCGATCTGAAGGTTGCCGTTGAGACTACAGTAGATTAGCATAATGTAGTAAGCCTTTGAGGGTGTCTACTCACTTTCTCATGGTAGTGATACAGCTGCTGCTTTCCACGTTCTGGGCGGGATCTTGACCGGTAGCAAGGAAAATCGCAGTAACGATATTGGATGCGTGGGCGTTGAAGCCGCCAATACTACCAGCCATGGCACTTCCGATCAAGTTCTTGCTGGTGTTCAGCTCAACGAGGGCATTGACATCACTCTTCAACACACTCCGGACAACATCGCCAGGAATGATAGCCTCGGCCACGATCGATTTGCCACGGCCGTCAATCCAGTTGATAGCAGCCGCCTTCTTGTCCGTACAGAAGTTACCCGAAACAGAGATCGTAGCCATATCATCAAAGCCACACTCAGTAGCCATGACATTGAGTGCCTTTTCGACACCCTTCGAGATCATGTTCATACCCATGGCATCACCTGTCGTTGTCTTGAATCGGATGTATAGATAAGTACCAGCGAGGGCAGTCTTCATGTGCTGCAGTCTGGCGAAGCGGCTAGTGGAGTTGAAAGCTGTAGTCATAACGCGCTGGCCCTCCTCTGAATCCAACCAAACCTTGGCGGCTGCGGCTCGTGCAAGGGTAGGGAAACCGACACAAGGACCACGGGTCATACCGTCACCAGTCAGTACAGTCACTGCACCACCACCAGCGTTGATAGCCTTAGCACCTCTACTGGTACTAGCCACCAAGACACCTTCGGTGGTCGCCATAGGAATGAAATAGTTTTGACCATCAATGAGCATAGGACCAGCAACACCAAGGGGCAAAGGCAGATAACCGATGACGTTCTCGCAACAAGCTCCATGAACCAGAGTGTAATTGTAATCCTTGTAGGGGAGCTTGGAAGCCTCCAAGGAGCCACTGAACTCAGAGGTGGTAGCAGTCCTGGCCACGACAGATCGACGGATCTTCACTGCGCGAGTGAAAGCGTCACGGCGGCTCATAAGATCTTCATTTTCCATGGTCTTCTCCAAAGCGTAACCGGGGATCTTGCCCTTCAAGGAGAGGTCCACGAGCTCCTCATCCGATAGGAAGGCAGCTCTCTTCTCCTTCAGGAAAAGCTCACATTCTTCAGCGCTCCTCGTGGGACCATCCTGGTTGTTCAGGTCGATCTTGGGGTATACCTTGGGCTTCGGGGCTTCCATCTTGGGTGCAGCTTCGGGCTCCTTGATGCTCCATCTGGCCGCGTTGAAGAGATAGCCATTCAGAATGATACTCAAAGTCAGGGCAGCGATAATCCACTTGCTGATAACCGGGTCCTCAATGCTCTTCAGAAGACTTTCGATCATACGCCCACCAACAGCATCGAGGAACTGATCGGTGTACTCAATCTCAAATCCTGCGCTCTCTCCAAGCGCAGCATAGTGGACAGAGGGATACTCCAATTTGTACCTGATGGGAGGGATAACTGTCACGACAGTCTCCTGCATCTGGCTCTTGGCGGCGACGTAGATGGAGTCAAGACCATTCTCAGCGACCTTGAAAGGGTCAATGGGGGTAGGAGCCAAAACATTGGAAACGCGCGACAGAAGGGGGATGCTAGCGGAATCCCGGAAAGGAATAGCCGTCAAATTCACCACATTGATCAAGATGAAACCGCCAACCATCAGAATCTTGAAGAGACGGACGTTGCTGGACTTGAACTTCTTGCCAAAGATGCTGGTCTCGCTGTTGCCATTGTACTCCGATCCAGCTCTCGGCCAGTCATTGTTGGAAGCCACGTTCTCGGCAACACGCTGAGTAATCCCATCTTCCTCGAGAGCCTTGCGGAGCGCAACATGGCGTCTAATACGGGTGATTTCGAGTTTGATGCAGAGAATCGTAGTGTAGAAGGTGAACAACAGGAGGCAGTCGAAAAACAGGATCCAAGCAGCAAGGAAGCAGAACTGCCTTAGGCCACCCTGGACACCAGAAGCTGCACCAGCAGCAAGAATGGCAATCTCAATGCAATAATCGCGAACAATTTCGAAACCCTGCTCTTTGATAGCAGTCTGGATAGAGTCCTGGATGGATCTGGGGTTGTTGCCAGCCCGGGCGCCTTGCTTCCTATCCACGGAAGCGCTCAGGACAGCTCGAGTGAGGATGATCGACTTCTCAAATCCAATGGTCACCACCAGGAATGGAAGGCCCTCAGACAGCAGAAGCATGTTGATAGGGACTCCAAGCTTTGTGGTTACCAAAAGTCCGAACAAGAAGGCAAAAGCACCAGAGAAAAGAACGGTGGTAGCCAGCCAGAAGTTCGATCCCAGACGGCGCATGGAGAAGAAAAGGGAAACAAAGCTGAGGTGCATAGAAAGGTATCCCAAGGTCATAATGACGATGTCAATGGTCTCAGCGTGCTACAGAAAATTAGCAAACAAGTCATTAGGCTGGTTGCATTTTGTGGGAAAATACCTTGATCAGATCAACGAATGAGTTCCATGCGTCTGCGAACCACAGCTTGAGGGCTCCAGTCGAGCCATAAGCCGGGCCACGAGCTGCCCTCATAATCCATTTCTTCTGCTCTCCTTCTCCCGCGCCAGCTGAAGGTTCGGGGATCTCTTGCACGGCCTTCAGGAAATCGGAGACCTGCTCGAAAGGAAGAGTGAACACGAGAGACGAGTCATGGGAGAAAGGCGAGAACAGGTTGGGCGTATGGGGAACCCGCTGGGCAGATGTATTCGCAGGAATGGGGACCTCGTCGACTAGAGGGGCAGTCGACACTGACTTGGATACCGAGTCGGGGAAGATAAAGGTAGCAAGTGCCATGTGCTGAGCGGACTATCGGATCGAAAGGATCAGTGCATGAACAAACACAGATAGATCGATCAAGCAGATGCTCACCTCAGAGTCTTGGATGGTGGGGGCATCCTCAACTTGCCACTTCCACGAGGTACTCTCTCCCAGGCGCAAATTCCTACTGCCTCTGAGAAGAGTGTCCACATCGACCTGGCCGGGTACATTGCGCGGGTTCTTGAACGAGTCGAAAAGGCTTCCCTCCAGCAGACCAACATAGGTGGTGCTGGCCAGAAGGGCAATTACAACGATGGTGTGAATCGGG